CAATAGACTACTCAGGCATGGAGTGGGAAAGCATAATGGGATTCAATCGCACCGCGGTCGAAAACCTCATGTGTCCCCGAAGTGCAATGAGGGTGGATGGGTGAACATCGATGAGATCCTGGAATATGACCATGTCTTCAGCGATGGTGTCGATATCAGTACTATCTCAGGTGATCGGCATCGTCAAGATGTCAAGACAGAGCGATACCAGTATTTATGCAAGGCGATGTGGCATGCAAAGAAGTTGCAGAACAGAGTACGCTACCAGATTGCCGCCATTCGCATCTCAAAGGAGGATGTCTCACTCGAAGAGGAAAGGCAATACTGGGCAAACCTCATGTTTTACAGCACAGACGCACCGTCATTTCTGAAGCATGAACGTTGGATCGTTCCTTGTGCAATTCGAGCTGTTGCCTCTCACAATTCTGGAAGAGAGACGGTTCTTGAAGAGGATGTGTCTATATATCCTGTGTGGACTTCACATCTCATTCCAGAGAATGTGGCAATGCAGCTTGGAGGAAGCTTTCACATGACATCGCTTTCCAATATTGAGTCAATCATGAAACTAGGAATTGTCCCTGGTGGAACGGAGGGATATAGAGGTAGTGTTTTCTTCAACCACTTTGCGCCGTGGGATGATCGATCATCAAAGATTCTGAGATCAAGATGGCCAAGAGTGGGAATGCCCGTTTGCCTTTATGTTCCAATCATGACTTTGAGGAAGCTTGGGGGAAGAATTTCGGAGAATTCCTACACTGTTGTTTTTAGAGAAGTTCCATGGAGATGTGTACGAGGTGCTTGGTATTGGGACGACCACGTTCAGGCATGGAGGAGGCTCCTGCTGGGAAGCACTGGAGAGCAAGTTGTTCTAGCGGCGCGTCATGGACTTTGGGTTGCTCAGAAGCATACCATCCTCGAGAGAGCCGACGAAGTCACGAAGTCAGCCTCGGCGACAGATGACAACGTCCAAAAGCTCGTGTCCCTTATCGATGAAGTACGATTCGATGATAATGAAGAGCTGATCGAGGATTCCATCAGTGAGGAAACTTGGGACGAAATCATCTCCAGAACATGTGAAGGGTATCGCAACGTGGATGGCAATATTTTGTGTCCATCATGTATGCATTTGACTTCTTCATCTTTGTCCGTGTGTCTATCTTGTCAAGGCAGGCTGCTCTCGTGTGGTATTCGCAACACTGTCATTTCCGATTCACCCGTTGATCTTGTGAGCGACGATGAAGAGGAAAAGAAGGAAGAGAAGAAGCCTGAAGATGATGATCAAGATATCTTGGACCAGGCCACTATGGACGAGATCAGAAAGGCTTGGGAAGAAGACATCGCTCAAACTGAAGCAGCTGACGACGACGAGGACATGGACAATCTAGATCCTTCCAAACCGTCTGATGGTGCAGAAAACTTCAAGAGTGACAATGTCGAGACCCCATCTTTCAATGAGGACGAGATCGACTACGGTCGTGATCCTGATCTAGAAGATGAAGACGAACGAAACGTGATCATCGAGATCCAGAGGAGCACACAACAATATGAGGGGAAGAAACGTCAAGATGGTGAGCCCGAGGATGAAGACGTCACCGACGATTTACATCCGGAGGCGAATCGACCGACAGATCGTGATGAACCGGGATACTATGCACAGCATGGAGCGACCGAGTTCAATCCCGAAGAAGGAAGAGACAACGAAGATCTCCCCATCTATTGTCGAGTACCGGAACCTCGAATCTATGCGCATCAAGAGAGAGCCTACTGTCAGGACGTCTCCATGAATGCATCGGGCTTGATGGATAGGTATGTGGTCAAATGTGTGCTGAACATGATCTCCCTGATGTACAAGAGCTACTATTGCACCAGCCTTACCGACTTCAAAGCAAATTGGAAAAGGAAGCGACTGGATGTGATAAGCAAGTTCGGTACAGGGGATTCCACTGAAATCGATGACGATGGGAGACCATTGGATCCAACAGATGATATGATGTTAATCTTTGCCAACGACAACAATATTACAACTGAGGAGGCCTGGCACCGATTCAGAGGAGAACAATTCATTTGCAAGGTGGCACTCGTGATCCTATCATTTGGTCATACTCCGCAATCCTTCAAGCAGGGATATGGCAACTTCGAACACTCCACCGACTTGACTGATGCCCAGCTTGAGGAGTTGAAAGCGAAGAAAGCCAGCGCAATGACTGAATTGGTACAGAAGTGCATCCGTGCGATTTATGGGTGTCGGACATATTCTTACTTTAGAACCGACGTTACATCACCCTACCACAAGGTGATCGATCCTCTGGACATCATGTACTCGAGAATGAAGAGCAAGTGGGAGAAGTCTATTCTGTTGATCATTGATCAACATGAAATCAGGTTGCCCCCACAAGCTCAGGAAGTCATAGAGTCAATGGCCAGAAACCCCAACGTTGGACATACAGAGAGATGGATGAGCGTGGTAGAACATAAGCATGTTCAAGCTCTTACCAATCGTCTAGGCTTTGGAGATAGGGCCAAGGAGATTCAGGGCAAGAAGAAGCAGGCAGCCAAGGCAACAGCTAAGTCAACATCAACGACTAAGTCTGAAGCGAAAGCAGCATCTTCGTCAAGAGCTGAGGCAAAGCCAGCATCTACACCCAGAACCGAGGCCAAGCCGTCGTCAGCACCAAGTGAGGAGCCAAAACCTTTAACAGCACCTAAGAGTTTCGGGCCCTCATCAGCAGAGGAGAGCAAGGCGAAGGCTGCTCCAAAAGCCAGACCACATGATAAATCACCATCCAGTGCTACCGATGTGTTTGAGCAAGCTTTGCAGGAAGATCTTGCCGCCAACGCACATGCAGCAGAAGGTACAACTTCTTCATCATCCCGAGGACATTCCAAAGGAGGAGGCCAATCTGGAACATCTTGGAGGCCGGCGCTAACGCAAGAACGTCGCGAAGTACCTCAACCTTCTGAAAAGGGGAAGGGAAAGAGCAAGTCCAAGGGAAAGTCCAAGAAGGGAGAAGATGATCGGTGGGATGCTCAGGGCAGCTGGGATCATCGTGGATGGAGAGGTTATCACCAGTGGTGATTTCTTTGAACGACTATGAGGATACCATGCAAACCAGGGAGGAAGTCATTCACCGGATGTCTATCTGACCTGAAACGCTGTAAGTGTATCATTGCAAATCGTCAATCTGATTTGATACCTTGAGCATAATGGAAGGAAGACAATCACCGACTGTCTCTCCGACTTGCCGTTCTGTAAGTGTATCCAAACCAAAACCTACATCTTTTGAGAAGTGTGAAGTCAGTTGCCGATGTGACATCTACGTGGAAGTCACCAGTTCGGATCTACATCAAAGCGATGCTCTTTTGAGTGGATACTGAGCGAGGCCTCGTGACTGTCTCACTTGTTCAATTCGATTTTTCAAAGGTTCTGAGCCATAGTTGCACACTTTATATGTAAAAGTCCGCTTTAGTCCAGCATGTTTCGTAGTATGAGCCTCATATGAGTCTCGCGGCAAATCATACAATTTCTTTGTAGCACTTACATCCCTAAATTTTTGTGTGTGATCGGAACATATTGTTGCCGTTCACATGGGGGGTGCGAATGGAAGTGCAGCGACACGTACAGTGCAACTTGTACATATATATGTACCATATGTACTTTGGCTCAAGGATCAAGCGACTAGAAAAGGTGCGGTTTCCGTTCCGACGCTACGCCGCTTATGGACCGTCAGTGATAGCTTCAAACTTCGCTGATTAAGATCCACTCGCATATTGGATGCGGGTGGTGGGCGCAAAACTCAAAGTCTGGGGCGCGAAAACCTTCAAAAAAACATAACAAGTGAGGGTTCCACCTTGTAGAAGGCTTTTTCTGGGCCACCTGAGGGTTAAATTTAGAGAAGACTTGGAACAGGAAAGAACAGTTAAACTTAGAACATAGCATACTTTCTGTGGGCCACCCAAGGGTAAAACTTAGAGCGGCAGGCACCGTTCCAACTTGGCACCTTTTGTGGGCGAGGGCAAACATTTTTAGAAAGAAACAGGTCCTACTTGGAACATACTTTTTGTGGGTCACCTGAGGGCAACAATTAGAGAAAACCAATTCTTTTTCTGTCGTGCACCTTTTGTAGGCCAGGACGGAGCAGTTCCTACCCGAGGGCAAAATCTAGAGCAGAAAGGAACAATTCCAACTTGGAGTATACCAATGGTGGGCGGGTATCACAGTGTAAAGTTTTGAGCAGGAACAAACTGTGCGTCCAACTTGGAGCATGCCCTTCGTGGGCCACCGAAGGGTAACATTTAGAGAAGGAAGGAGTTACTCCAATGTAGCGCACCCTTTGTGGGCCAATCGAGTGTAGGAAGGAGCAATTCCAACAAGCAGAAAGTGTTTTGTGTTTTCTTTCATGGTTTGTGTGCTTCTTCGGGGGAGGCGCTGCGCCCTCCTTGCCTGCCACCAAATCTAACTTTTCAGAGTGACACCCCTGTCCCAGCTTCTCTATCGAGAAAGGTCCACATTGTCAAATCGAAACTGTCATTGGTCCCTTGTTAGCTGAAGTCCACACACAGTGGACAAACGCCAGGCAGCCGTCACAAACGCCTTTATGGTTGCAAACTCCCAGCCATGGCAAGGTGTGGTTTAACTTGGTGGCAACTGTTCTATCGCTTTCATTGCACATTACCCCAAAATACAGATCAACTGCACAAACTGCGGTTCACCATGATTTTCACCTCAAAACATGGTGCATGACACCCTCGGCTCATACACCAGCCGATCTTCCTCCATAGTCTGGTGAAGGCTACCAGCTTTGCACTGCCCATCCGCCAAACAAGCCCGTTTGCTTCTTTATGGAGAAAACCGTTGCACCACGGGCACTAAGCTCCAAAACATTGAGCCATGGCTGATGTGCCAAAGATCCCGGCAACCCCACAGACGTAGGTCCTTTTGGTTGATTTTAGGCGAGTCCTCGGCCGCTGAAGTGTTGGCTTTTGACTCTGAGCCAACCCAGGTCCCACACATTGACGGCGATGAGAACTCGGAGAAGTGGAAGAGATGTCTTCTCTGCCAGTTGGGCTTGCCCAGGTTTAGGACAAAGCGAATCACATGGGGCTGTTAGGGTGGAGACCAATCGCTACTAGGGTGGAGGCCATCGCTACTAGGG